TTTTTCCATACCTACCTGTATATTATTATACATTTATACATAATATAAACAGTAATTTGGCCTACATACATATATTATAACTGTGGGCCTGTGCTCTCGGTGACGAAATTTATTGTTTGTTTTTTCTTTTCATTCGTCCTGACCTAGAATTTTGGAGTTACCCACTGGAGCATGGAGGGGATAGGAAATGATAAAAAATATATACCTAATATATTTATGGTTTTCGAAGCGGTGTACCACAGAGAAAAGTTTACATTATTTAAAAAAAAAAAATGTCCAAATTGTCATTAGATTGCAAAGACGTTTATGGAAACTATAAATACGATTGTGCGTGGTCGCATGGATTCGTCGATGGCCTTTACAAAATACTATACAAACGCATATACGACGGTCGCCGCCGCCACTGGTTGCGTCTCCGTATTTCGTCAACAGTAGCGGTTGTGCTTGTGTTATCGTCTTGGGTAGTTATGACCCGACTCCACCAGGTGGCGTACTGTATACGTAACATTGATAAAAAAAAAAAAAAATAAAAAGGTTAACAAAACATTCAACAAACGTCGGGCAAAAAAATATTTAACAACATAATATTAAGGCCCAACGACATTATTAATAAAATTAATCTATTCGATGCGTTATCAATATCGGTTCTGTTCGCTGTAAAATAATCAAAATCACAACAACAACCAAATATGTGCCATACAAACGGCTCATTGTCCCCCGTATTAGTGGTGGCTTGATAGCGCAAAGCCACAAGCACAACAGATCCGGCAGGTCGGTGTGAATGTACTGCTTGGGCGTCCGATAAGAATAATAATCCCACAGTTGATGATCGCAATACGTTTGAAATGGAAATCGGAGATCTATTGCCGGAACAAGAACGGGTGAGTGGGTCGGTATAAGGCGGACTTGTACCGGTATAATAATTAATAAGTATATCGTCGGACGGCTGTCAAAGTGGTTTTGCTAAGGTCGCCGAMGACACTGTATTATTAAACACAAAGGTGTGCATTGTAATACACGGGGCTACTCCAGTCCGTGTCCAGATTTGGTGTATATCTAATGACGTACGTTTTGTTTGTTGGTTTCGTAGGCCATAGATGAATTCATCCACACGATCAATCATATGAATAAATCACAAAACAAACCGCCAATATCACGGTCGTCTGCTTTCAAGTTTTTGGTAGCAAGGAAATTTGACGTTGCAAGAGCTGTACTGTTACACGAGCAGCATGAAGAGACCAGACTGCGCGAGGGTCTGTTTGGATTTAATTGTGCTGTTGAACCATTAAAAAGTGAAATTAGAACTCAGAAATTCACAATTTTGGTAATGATAAATTGTTCAATTCAAAGATMTCTATGAGTCTGAATACTTAACTTGTATGTTAAATGAAATTAAACTTATGTGTTTACTTTTTATAGCCAACAAGAGATTCAACAGGTGCTGCTATAGCTGTTTTTACAGCTCGCTATCATGTGCCACAGTTTTCTTCCCATCAAACTACTTTGCAGGTATACAAAACATTCACAATATATCTTGTAATATATTAATGATTAATTAAACATATTATTTTTTATTAAAATAGGGTATTGTTTACCAACTGGATATAGCTCTTGAAAACGTCAAGACTCAAAAATGTGGGTTGGTATTCATTTACGACATGTCRGATTCCAAATATTCAAATTTTGATTATGATTTGAGTCAAAAAATCTTAACCTTACTCAAAGTAAGTTTGTTAAATATTATATCAAATTAACAAATCTGATACATAATAGTAAATTAAATAAATAAATGTAATAATTGAAGTAGACATTTATTGATATGGTTCCCCTTGATATTTCAAGTCCAACACAATTACTTATTGCTTCATATAATTTGCATATACTAACAATTTTATACTTGCTGCAAATATGTTGTTGAAGAATCAATTTTAAAATGTAATAAATTACATAGGTTAGTATAAATACAGTATTTTAATATCATGATAATATTATTTTTAGTTTATAATTTTATATAAAATATGTTTATAGTTATGTTTTTACTTAGTTTTCAATATACTAAAAATTAGTGTTGATAGTTATAAAAATTAAAAGTAAATAATGTCCCGTGTATCACTTTTTTTTTTATAAATTTATAAAATCAAATCTTTAAAGACTTGTACATATTTGATTATAAAAATCAACAAATTATTTTGTATTTTGTAACAAAATTAATTACATTTTTTCTTTACAAATAAGAATATTATTAGAAACAAACTTAAAAGCAATAAAATAATATTTTGCCTAATTATGGTATATTTTTGATGTTATGTAAAGTAAAATATTTATTATGTTTAATTAATATGTTAAATTTATCAAAAAATATATTTTTATTTTAAACCAAATGGAAAATCTATTATAAATGTATTAAGTTACATGCATAGTCATTGTAACATGCACCCATTAAAATAAAAATATTTTATCTATTTTTATTGAACTTCAACATCATTAGTTTAATATAATGCTTACATATAGCTTACATTATGCCTCTAATAATAATACTATTAAAATTTGGTACTACAGAATAAGATTTTATACTTAATGGTTTCATTTTGAATTCTAAAATTGATCGTTTTGTTTATGGATCATAGGAAAGTTTTGTACTTGTAAAATATGATATATAACTGTATGTTTGGTGGTTAGTCATTCTATCTACAAAACTAATGGTTTCTACCAATATCTATAATATACCAAACTATATTGTACTTGTATATAGTTTATTATATAGTCATTAAGTGTGGAATTTTTATAACAAAATTAAAATTAGTCTTCAAGTGTGAGTTGTGGGATTATACATAGTTTAACTGTAGATATTTGTATTATTATATTATTTTTATGTCTTAGTAAATTATTTGAATGTTTGGACTATGGGTTATTTGTAACTATATATTAGTATTATTCAAAAATGAAACGATATGCATAATTTTTTTTTATAAACACGTGATTTATTTGGTGCCTAATGAACAGACATATACTAAAATTAAAACCAAAAAATTTGAGTTGGTGAATTAAATTAATAAAAATAGTTAAAAATCATAGAAAGCAAAATTTAGAAGGAATTATTTTGAAAACCATATTTTATGTTTATTCAACTAGTTCTTAATAAAAAAAATTGCTTGACATTCAACCCTGAAATTAAAAAAAATTTAACATTTAAATTTACAAATTGGAAATGTAATAGTTTATCTAGTGGTTTAAATTTGTGGTATACCGTAGAACTTATCATGATATTGAGTATTTCAAATACAAACAATACAACTGTGGGTTTTTACAAAAATATCTTGACTAACTTAAGTAAACTAGTACAATTTATATTGAAATGTATGTAGCAGTAGATAAATTTCAAAATTGTAAGATAATAATTGCACAAAGAGATTTGCRTAAAATTATAGTAGAAATATTAATGTTTATGGAAAATAGCATATTGTACTAGTACAAAACATTTTGATAACCTACATTGTTTTATCAATTAGTGAGTATTACATTTCTGAATCATTTTTTTACAAAAAATATTCCAATTAAAACTAGCAAAACCAATTAAAAAAGTACTAATCATTGTGTTGTTAATATCTCTTTTAGATAATTCAGCTAATAATTTTTTATTTATATGTATTTTTTTACAAAAAATATTTTAATTAAATGTAATCAAGTATTAGGGAAATAAAACATATTTTATGTGGCCAATATTCTATGACTTGTTTTGTTCGCTTATTAATATTTAGGAGTTTCAAGGATTCTTTGTTTGTAAGAAGGGCTAATGCTATTTTAGTACAGACATGTATTAAATAGTTTGAGACTTAAATACTTTGGCAACAGTTGATATTTGAAATAATAAATAAGTATCTACCTATCTCATTATAAATATTCAAAATATCATATACATTTAAATGTTTATTCAATTGTAATGATTGTTTCATCAAGCTTACATTTTACTTTATTAATTTAGTTTTATAATATAAATATAAACTTTATTATTAACTTTAAGATTATCACCAACAAGAAATTGTTGTATGCTACATTGCTAAACAAAAATGTAATATATTTAAAAAAGACTATATTATATTTACAATAAAAATAATAAAAATAGTCTTTAAATTATCAAGTATAATTTGAGAAAAAAATGGTTAGCAATTTTAATTTTAAATATGAATTATAACTTAGTTTAAACTATTTAAATATTTAAAAAGAATAAGTGCTTAATTTAAATTATATAAGATAATGTTTTTATAATATAATAATTGTTTTAAATTGTTTAATTATTATATTTTATTTGTTTTTACATTTTCACATTATTTTTGTCAACTTAACAAAAACCCAAATTTTAAAAAGTTGAATATTATAAAATTATTTGTTTTAGTAAAGCCATTGGTTTTATAATATACAGATAAAGTATAGCATAGAAGTTATCAGTGACTAAAATTATACTGTCAGCCACTAGGCTTGCTGTATCCATTTACATTGCGCTTAATGCTTATGGATAAGCAAACTTAGCAGCTTACAGTGTAATTTTAGTTACTGATAACTGCTATGCGATGGCTTTTCTGTATATTTTCTTTTTGTATTTTTTTTTCTAGTTACTAAAGTTTAGTGAATCACAAATTGATTCTGATAGTTTATTCAATAATGCTATCTTTAATAAATATAATTTTCTTTTGTTGATAAAATTCTAGTCTTAAAAACTAGAACTTAAAATACATTAGATTATAATTCAGAGATTTAATTTCTTATCTGTATTATATTTATGATTTTATCTATAATATTTCAATAACTAGTTTTCTGAGTTTACATACACAGTATAATATATTCTGCATAATATGTATAAAATTACCAACAACATTGTTAGATATCTATAATAATTACTACTAGTATAGATATATTTATATCATTTATGTTTTAAAAATTATATTTTATATTTTTCCTTTTCAAGATTTTTTTTTATGCGTTTAAAAACTCATTTTTTAAATAAAGTGTAAATCCATAGTGAATAGGTCTGAATATTGATTTGTGATGTATATTTACTCAACATTCTATTGAAACCTTTTTGCGCAAGGGACTTATTAAGATCTGAATATTTAATATCAATACCAGATAATATAGCATATTTCTACTTTTTCATATTACTATTCTTAGGGAAATCCTTCTATTTGTTTAGTTGTCTATAGGTGCTAATATATATATTAATAAAAAAATGTTTATTAAAATCAACAATATTTTCCATGATGATTTATGACGTAGCAAGTTCAGGTATATTATGTTAATAATATCTTATGAAATTTTGACATTTTAAAAACATCTAAATTTAATATTTAAATACTTTTAGAAAAAAAAAAAATGTTGATTGGACAGTAGCTAGTGTATTATTTGAATACTTCCCTCATGTAATTAATTTTATTAATACCTACAGTAGGTATAACACATGCGTCACACGCATTGTATATTGAAAAACTTTGATGTATGATTTATTGATTTCTTTTGAAATCATATATTTTTTAATTATTTACGTATTGGCACATTTATTTATTTGGTATACTTTTATTTCGGAAAATATTTTTGTAAGTCAGTTATTTAAAATTAAAATAAGCCAATAATTGCCACAGATTTACAAATTTCGAAATTTCAATCATTTTATAGTACTTTTATATTTTATTTAACTGTAAACCTTATAAACCAGAATCAACAGTCTCAATGTTTTAAATAATACAATTCTTAAATAAAAAATGAAAATAATTTTTGTGGTTAGTCACAAAAAAAAAATTTATGATTGTGTTCATATTTAAATTATAATTTAAAAAAATCAGATATAAAATAAAATAATTTCGCGAACGGATGAATGGAAGAAACCAAAGAGAGCAGAACTGTAGGATCGATAATGCTATAAGAGTTTACAGAGTTAGTGTGAGAACACATGCGCGACGCGCGTACTCCAGTGTAGCAGGGGAAGCCCCCTTTGTTTCCTTCCAGTTAGGGCGATGATAATGTAGGGTCTGGCTCAGTTGTATTTAGCTACAACCCCACTAAACCCTGGTAAAAACCTTTTTGTTTTCGTGTACTTTGTAAACGACTGTTCTAAGATAGTTTTTACCCAACAAAACCATTGCTTGTATTTTTCAGTTAAAATTAAAACGCTTAGGAAATAACAATATGCTATCATTTTGAGCCGAAAAATATTAAATAAATATATTTTAAAAGATCAGATTTTTTAATTTAAATTAATTAATAAATAACGATAAATCCATCTTAATGTGTACCAAGTATAATCAAATTTATTATATTCGTTTAATTTAGTTTGTCAAGTGTAATTTATTCATATATTTAAAACTATTCGAAATATATATTATTCGAATTATGGAACTCACTAACACGTATAATATTATATAATGTAATGTGATGGTAGTCCTATTAGTAATTTTGTAACCTGACATTCCATACGCACCGTGTGGACTGTGTAGGTATTTAGGGTGGCGATGAAGTCGGCATAAAAGAGAGGAAGTACTTCCTGACACGTGATATAATTTCTCCACAAGACTGTTAGCCAACTGCACAATAGTTTGGGCACGTATAATAATGGCATACGTGCACAAAATCGAAAATTACCAATATTAACTTGTTTTGCCCAGAACTAGTATCTTAAAGTCCCAATAATAGATTCGTAGTCATATATAATTTTAAGTAACAATACAATAATATACTGTTCATCATGATTTTATTTTATTTTCTAACTGTCAATCGCCATTCCATATTTTAGTAGTAGTAAGTATTGCTGTAGGTTTTTTTCTTCATTTGGTGTGTATATATTTTTCTTTGAATTACTAATTAAATTTTTTTGTAACAAAATACCAATTTGTGGCCGGATGTTAAAAAAGGAAATCCGTTAAACGAAGATCACTAAATGGAACGAATCGTTACAGGCAGGAAAGAATTATCCTGATTAGTCATGTTTCCGACGAGACCCGATCCAAATGAAATGAGACCTACTGAATTATGCTAAAATGATTGTGCTAAATTTATATTCATCATATTGACATTCAGATAAAATCCTTACACAGTAGTTCGTAAGTACAATGGTTTATTGATATATTCATATTGTTAATCCGATAGATCAGTCTAGTAAACACACCTATATAAGTTTATATACTCCATACAAAGTCATTACTCATTAACTGGTAGTTATATAGGTATTTGACATATGTAATAGGCACATTTTTAAATTATTTGACTATGTTTTTGGTTTATGAGTTTATTCAAGGTAATTAACTTAATTTATATTTTGGAAATATTTAACCATATAGCCTAAAGAATAACGTAATCCGTGTAGTTGACTACTAAATCGTAGAGCTGAGAAGCATTGCATTACCTATGATTTTAATTATTTTTATACCTTCTTAATAAGACAACATTGTAAAATATTATTTAAATAAAAAAATCTCCCTCGGAATATAATTATAAGTTGTAGGTATTAGATTATAGGAGTTGTAAATTAAACTTATTATTATATAGTAGCATTATAATGAAACAATAATTACTTAGTTTTTTACGTTTATGTTCATGTATGTTTAAGTAATTATCCATTGATTAAAATTTTCAATTACAACGAATTGTATTGATCTCAGATTAATAATCTGTATTAAGTTAAAGCTAAATGTCTCTTTTTGTATTTGTTACAGTACCTATAGCAAATCAGTAATTTTTATTACTTAATTTTCAATTTATATAAGCTAACTTATTAAATTGAAATTTGTTTTTTAATAATGTCTACAAAACCCTAAGGGTTTTATTTTTTTAATATTATCCACAATAATATATAATAATGTAAAACTATAATCATTATTTTATTAATTTATCATTTGTGTAAATGTCAATGATAATAATTATCAATAATAATTGTGTCTGATTATAATGGGATACAATGTCAAGGTAATGTTTATCTCGATTCAATTGATAAAATTGAAATTACCTTTAAAGCTTCAGCTGTATGTCGTTTTGAAAAGTGCGTAATTTAATAAAAACTGATGGTGCGTATGCGGCAAATAAATAATACCACACGTTTTACTCGTACAACGCCTATCGCGCGTGGCAGCCGTCTGTGATTTAAATTAGTCATTAGCCCAGTCTCCGCGAATAATGCCTTAAAATATATTATATAATATTATGTCGATATCATCTTCATCAATTCTATATAATATGGTATCATATTTATTCTGTTTCACAGCGGTAGGTAAATAATATAATATTTACGGTAGTCAAATATCGTATTGAKCGCCCAGACGAGCGTAGATCAGCGATATTAAATACCTACATAATACTATTATTACACATAATGACATAACATAAATTACTTTAGTGTTTAGTGGCTATCAAAATATACAATGTCGTCACGGCTGTAGTCGGTTGTGTTTTTACCTCATGAGCGTAGGCCTGCTGCATATAGGTCGATGAGGAGAGTTCGATACGACGGATTTTTTCGTCGTTTCATTCCATGTATATCGAAATCGATTACGTCTTGTACGCGTGATTTGCGGAGTAAATCGTAAAAAAATTGATATCACATCGCAGAATYGTGTCGTCGTTACTCAAACATAATATTACAATTATTATTATTTTTAATATTATATTGTGCGTGTGCATACAAAAAACGCGCGTTCAGGAGTCACTGGAAAGTGTGAGAGAGCTACGATGAATCGGCTCGGGTGGCGTTGGCGGAGGGAGAGGAGAGAGTCGAATCGCGAACAGCGGCGGCGTCGACGGCGTCAATGGGAACATTTTTCCATTCAACGAGAGTCCCGGCGCGTGTAGCGTAACGGGAACGGGCCGAGACGTGATCCCGGCGGAGCGGGTGCGGCGAGGGACGGGCACCCGGTCGGCGGCCGAGGGGGGTTCGCATTTTCACCGACGCGGGCACCGCCACCACTACCGCCGTCATCGTCATCGCCATCGCCGGTCGCCCGCGCGCGTGTATCGACTGCTCGACGACGCTCTCGCGCGCGGTGCACACGCCGAGGGGGCTCAGTCTGTTTTTCCGCGTCGTTCCGACGGGTGCGCGTTCTTCGCTCGCGGGTGTCGCGCTTCGTCGTCCGCCGTCATCGTTTTTGCCGTCGCACCGCACTCGTAGCAGTGCCGCCGCGAATCCACACAGCGTGCGCTCAGAGTCCACCGTTTCGGTCGAGTCCCCCGGTCCACGCCGGCGGACCGTGACGCGTTGCGACGGTGTCCGCGATCAAATCTCGACGGAATACAATATTATCATTTTAATACAACAGACGGGGCAGATTGGTTTCTTGATTCGGATATTAATATAAAATAATATAATATCATTGTAAATATTTTAATCCCATTATATTCGTTTACGCGTCCGAAAAAGAGCGACGGCCGACGGGGACGACTCTAGTGTTGTTTTAGTGCGTGTACCGGTGTGTGTTTGTGTGCGTGCGCGCGTGTGTGATATTATCGTTTCGTATCCCGGATAGCGGCAACGGCGGCGGACGATATCGATCCGGTACGATATGGTTTTTTGATACTGTATAGGTACTAAATTTTTTTATTTAATATGATTATGTCATTGTTATGATTTATGTCTAATGAATTTTATCGAAATTTTTGCGGTTGTAAATCTTTGCGTGCAGATCACGCGGCTCACCAGCGTAGAATTTTCGTCGCGTTTCTCATGCGTATTTTTTTGTTTTTGTTTTTGGCTCGGCTCGCTCGTGATGCCGTTTTCCCGTTTAGCCTTGAGCCGATGATCACCGACCGTTACATATCGTGATTTTACTATTATTACTCGCGTGTGTGTGTATTTTTTTGTTTGTGCGAGTTATGGTTTAGAGTAGTAAGGTATAATAACCATAGCTATTTACACGATATTATGACGACTGTTCTGTCGAAGAGAAAATTCGTTTTTCGTCTCTTGGACCGAATCACGCGCTCGCGGGACTTAAACACAACCTTGGACGACGTGGTATAAATGTATAAGCAATAATACAATTCGACGTGAAAACAACGAGATGGCGTGTAATATACAGTCTAATCACAAGACGAAATTATTATATTATGGTTATCGTGGAT